CTGACAGTAGAAGGCTTGGGAAGGGCTCTGATGACATCTTGCCAAGAAAAAGCAGGCGTATCTGAGAGGGGAGCAGGACTTGATTAAGATTTAGAGGTTTCATGGAAGCCACTTGTGGGCCATGAGGGCAGGGGGTGTCTGTTCATTCACGTCTTTGTTGGAGAAAGCTGCAAAGAAGACCTGAGGTGTGAACTGAAACTACAGTTCTTGTAACGCTTTGTTTTGTGTCTGACCACGGCAGCTCATGTTAGCTGCGGTTTCTACACACTTTTGACTTTAGACACCAATTTAAGTGCCAGATCACACTGGAGTTAGTGTGCTTGTTCTCTTGCAAAGGACTACAAGTTCATCTGCTCTTAAAAGCCATGCTGCCTAAACTGTACAAGAACAGTTCAAAGAATGGAACCTCGCACATCTCTGATTATGTCTCTCGTAAACATGTAGAGAGAGAAGCAGCTTAATCAAGTTTGGTTTCTAAATTATACAGTATAGCTAAAATCACTGTATGCTAGCATAATTTATCTGTGCTAGGGGGTTGGGGTTTTTTTGGCTTAACTATGTTGGCAAAAGAAAATTACACGTTATGCAAGACTTATTCCAGTAGAAATTTGGAAAAATTCCAGTAGAAGGCTGGAAACTGAGCAGCCTTCTGTGGAGGCCAACAGTTTCTGTAGTTGAAATCTTCAAAGGCTGGGGCTAAATTACCAAGCCCATTTTTCCCTCCCCATGATGAGTAATGCTTCTCCTGATTTTTTTATTTTATTTTATTTATTTTAAGGAGTAATGCAGAGTGCAGAGGACAGTGCAGCTTGAACACTCATACCACACTAATGGAAAAAAATTATTTGCAGCAAAAGATGACATCTACATTTTTGCTCATTGGTCATCTCATTCCACTGATACCTCTGTTCAGTGCTGGTAAGTTAAATATGTTGTTGAAATTACCATTTTAAAAAAGAAAACCTGCAAGAGACAAGTTAGGTGTATTTAGTAGAGAAGAGTTACTGAGAACAAATAGTGGGTCTGGGGTTTGTTTTCGCTTCAGCGTATTGAAGATATACTGAATGCGTGTTCTTGGATTGAAGTTGTACTGGGGATGGAATGGGCAAATTGACATAAATATTTTTAAATCTAGCAACATTAATTTAGGGTCCTGAGGCTTTGATCAGCCTCTCCACGATTCCTATGAAGAAAGCCCAAAGAGATTGGCTTTTTTGACTTAAAGTTAGCTGTTGAATGACTTCTCTAAGAGTCAGATTGTGACTTTAGTTCTGAAAGCAGTAGGGCTCAGTTTCCTTTACAATTAACCAATAAAATTTTTAGTGTTGGATCTAATTTTTCAGTAAAGTTTAGGACTGCATAAGTTAGTGATGCTTGTCTTGCCACTCTTGGCATAAGCAGTCTAATATTAATGTGTCTGAATTAGTTTAAGCTCCATAGAGCCTACTTGGAAATCTTTAAATTAAGTGATAGGAAGGTGCTGGGACTGGAAAGATTACTGAAGACTCTTTTATTTTGAAAGTGAATACATTAGCTTTGTATTTATGTAGTCATTCAGCAAGATTTGTAAAATCGGTTCAGTTGTATGTTCTGCAGTTTCATAGGAATTCAGTGTTGCACGTGTACGCAAAAGTTGGGGAGCTTTTAAAATCTGCTTTATAGCCAGATGACCTGCTCTATTTGTGCTAAGCTAGTATTCTCCAAGTAGTTTTTGCTTGCAGATTTGGGTTTCTTGATGACTTCTTGCAGTATCTGTCCTTCTTAGTCCAGTATTTTTTTGGCTGATGTTTAAAAAACCTGCTTGCTAGGCTGTATGATTGCGCCTCGTCAACTTGTTACACAACCATAATTATAAAAATTCTGTTTATGTTTGCCTTTTATATGATGTCCAGAATAATATTTATAATTTTAAAGGGCTTTCTGGATAGAGATGACAGAAATTGCAAATGTAGTAAAGAAATAATACATGATACTCAAGACTTCTAAATCTAAATACTGTGCCTCTCCAAATTTCCTTTGTATTATGTTGGATTCAAAACCTGCCTGGACGCCTTTCTATGTGATCTTATCTAGGTGTTCCTGCTCCAGCAGGGGGATTGGACTAGATGATCTTTCGAGGTCCCTTCCAATCCTTCACATTCTGTGGTTCACAGTGAGGTCTTGATCTCATTCCATACTGTCTTGTGCTTTGGGTCAAAAACCATCTTTCCACTGCGCCCTCCTCCTGCCGCCCCTCCCCTTTTTTTCCCCTCCTCTTATTTGTTTTTGGCCCTGCAATCATAATGGCCAGAATACTGTGAGGAGCTCTGCACTGCTACTGCTTGCACCATGCTTTACATAGATAGTATCTACATTAAGAATCTGGTAATTCTGCAAAAGTACTAACATGCTCACATAACAAGGACATGACAAGTGTGTTGTGAAGCTTGTGTTGTGTGGTGAACCCTGGTTTGCACTGAGGCTATTGGACTTACATGTGCTTTTTGCTAACTGCCTTAATAGAGGGAAGTTGTGACTTAAGATTTGTAAAATGTGTGCTAAACAAACAAAAAATGGTAGCCTTGTGATGTTTTAATGGTAAATTGTTACAGAAAGTTTATTTTCTAATTCTGTGTAACTTGGAATGGATGTTAGCACCTCTAAACCATAGAAGTACACAAATTAAAAGCATTGAGTTTTTTCTTTTTTTTTAATAGAAGAATGCGTTATTTGTGATTACTTTGTGCTTGTTGGAGAGCCTACAGCTATTAGTTGCCCAATAATTACATTACCAGTGCTTCACTCTGATTACAATCTGACGTGGTATAAAAATGGTACCGCTACACCAGTAACCACAGAGCGAGATGCCAGGATCCATCAGCGAGAGGGCTTGCTTTGGTTTATTCCTGCAGCACTGGAAGATTCTGGACTTTATGAATGTGGTGTAAGGTAAGGAAGGAAGGAGGGAAACGACTGGCTTACTGATGCTTGCAAGTGTGATACTCGTGGAACTTGAGTGTACAGAATTTTTTGTTTTAGATAAGAGCACTTAGATCAGTTGAAAGCACTGTTTTGATCATGCTCTTTGTTTCTGCATGCTACCTTTTTTCCTTCTCTTCCACACAGGTAGCATTGCAAAAGTGGTTCACACAGAACACTTTGTCTTAAAGCATGATAGTATTAACAGTGGTTTGTATGGGTTGGTTGTTTGTGTTGTTTCCTTTGGATGAATTGTAAGGAAATTCTTAACTGTTTCAGCTTTTCTTCCGTTTAAATTGCTGCTTGATACTGACAGATTAGAAGAACACTTTTATTTCTTCATTCACCGTGCTCAAATGGAAGAGAAGGATCTAAGGGGAGCAAACTCTGCATGTTAGGCAGTATCACCACATACAGACTTTCTGGATCGCTTAGCAACTTCCTGAGAATCCTTTTAGAAATTTACAAATTAAAAGGCAAACAACTCCTCTTATGTTTTATTTTAAAACATTACCAAATGTTACCGGTCAAAAATGAGAATGCATGTAAAGAGCAAAGCCATGTGCTTGTCAGCTTTAGAGACAGTGGAAGTAATGCGTCCCCAGTACTGCTCAAAAGATCTGAGTGCACAGAGAAGAAAAAAGGAATAGATTCTTTTCGCCTCTTTGGTACTTGAAAGCTTTTGCCATATTTACAGCTCAGATTAGTGCACTGGAATTCACCACTTTAGGTGCTCAAATCTTATTTATAATGTTTGAAATTCACCATGTGCTGAACAGGAAATTCATTTTGGGAAGACACACAGAAATTATTCTGTTCCTTGTGGTCTTGGCATAGCACACTGTGAACAGCCAATGCAGCTTTTTGGGCGACCTAAAATTTTTTTTGGTAGTGTTTTGGATTGGGTGTTGGGTTTTTTGTTTTGTTTTGTTTTTTTAGTGTATTAAGTGTGCATACAGTACACCAGTTATGCTGAAGGGATTTGGGTTGTGACTATAGTAACAGTGATCAGCAAAAACTTTGGTGTAGGCACAGGTCACAGACCTTTTCACCTTCCTGCTCCTGAGTTGGTAGTGAAGCTAAACTTGGGAGTCAGAAGAAATGTAATACTTTCAAAGCTACCCAGTTAAATAATTTTAATGTAGTCTTTCCTGCTATGTTTCTAGTTACTCTAGCTATGAGATGTGTTCCCGTGGGCACCTCGCATCCCTGGCTTGTATAATGTCAGCAGGACAAGAAACTTGCCAAAGTTCTGTTGTGTTAATTGTAGACTACTTTTTGTGCATCAGTCACTTAAACCTTAATTACAGAGCTTGTCAAGGTGCAGTGTACAGAAGTGGAACCCAAGACCGTCAAAACATGCAGTTCACTCTTCTGGAAACTTCTTCTTTAGCACAGCATTGAGAAATTAAGAGTTGAGCAGTGAATTAATAGAGAGTATTCCTTTACTTCTGGCATAGGCTTCTGGTTTCTAGTGCTATCTCTCCTCTGTAGATCTACTGTACCACAGGTTCTTGTGAGCTCTTGGTGTGAAACGGTTTCACATTGATATTGCACCTTGATATATGTGTTATTCAAAAGCTCTGTCTGTCTTCTGCTAAGACTTACAGACTGTCTTTCTTGATATGTCCCTCCAAGGAACACAGAGATAAACCTGTCTTCTCCTGTTCATTTGGTACCGAGGGTGTTCCTGCACAGATATGTTTTGGGTTCCCCTGCACTACTATGTGCTGGCAAATGTAGTGCTGAAGGTGGCAAGGCTGGATTGGTGCTGTGGGCTCCATAGAGTGTCAGCTCTGAGAAGTCCTGGCTTCCCCTCTGGTGCTTCCATAGCAGACCTTGCTTCTCACAACACAAAATCAGAGCTTATTCCCACCTCTCAGTCTGGAACAGGGAGTGAGGAGCTGAGGATGGTGTTTAGAATCATAGAATCATTAAGGTTGGAAAAGACCTCCAAGATCACCAAGTCCAGCCGTCAAGTGTTTAAGAGCTAGGGTGGCTGTAGCGGGAGTGTTGGAGGCCAAGGCTGGTGGAAATGCTGAAGTCCCTCTCTGTAAAATCTCTGACTTGCTGGAAACGAGGAACCTTATTGTTAATGACCTGACTTGTCTGCTATTCTCATTACAGGAGCCTTAACCACTCTAACCAAAAAACTATAAACTTAACAGTTTTTAAGAATGATAATGGTTTGTGTTTTAATGAAAAAATGAAATTTGAACAAAAAGTGATGAGCAAAAATACTGGAAAGATTATATGCCCTGATCTAGAACACTTTAAAGATGAAGACAATAATCAACCTGAAGTACACTGGTATAAGGTATTGTGCATGTGTATTTCAGATATACAAGACAGGAAAGAATCTGTTTAAAAAGTGCTGTGAAGTAACTGTGAAAAGTAGATTTTGGAATGGAAAGTTTTTCTCTACAGTTGAAGTAAGACCTCTATCTTGCTGCACTATTGGGGAGATGTAAGGAGATATGGGAGACATATTTAAAAACAAAAGAATTGTCCATTTTTGGACTGTAAGTTTTGTCAGCATCAAAACCATCTGTTTTGGTTTGTTAATTTGTGAAAATCTAGTTTATCCTTTGATTATTTAATGTTGATAATAAGTTTAAAAATGTGTATGTTTTGTTAAATACAAGGCTCTGCATAATTATTTCAGTTTCACAGAATATCAGGCTTGTTCTATCTGTAGATCATGGTGTGTTATTCTTATGCTTCTTGCTTGGATTCTGCCAAAATGTAGACTATGCAAGCTTAGAAACAAATATTTTGTTCATGTTAAGGTAAAATTCTAAAGCAGTTCAATCTTAGTTCTGATGCTGGTATTAAAATAGCTACAAGGGCCTGGATATGTAAAATAACCTTGATGCTGCACCTCTACATTTTCTTTTGAGATGAGGTGATTCTAAACTGCTTATACATCAGGGAAGAGAAGGAAGTTTTTCACTGTATTTGCATTGCCACAGAAGTGGTAATACACCCAACAAACAGCACAAGGCACTGCTACAGCAGCTCTCCTTCTTCCCAGGGAAGCTGGAGTGCAGGCATGTATTCTCATAAACTCTGCTATATGCATAATAGCTTTTATTGCACTTGAGATAGATATCTGTCAAGCTATTAAATGAAGGCAGTGAACTAAAACACAGCATTTGGAAAACTTAAAGGATTGGCTTCAGTGATTGTTAAAAAGTACAAATGCAGCAGGATGTCGTCAGGCTTCATGTTGAGTATAGTGATGCTTGGACAAGAACCCACATTGTGGCTTTCAAAAAAAAATCAGTATTTGGCAAGTATTTTGATAATCAGTACAGTTCAGTAGTTTATTTAATTATCAGATTATTAGTGCCCTTAAATCACAGGTACTTTTGATGTATTTAGGAGTGTAAGTCTGGATTTCTTCAAGACAAGCGACTTCTTTTGGCAGAGGGTGAAAATGCTGTATTGATTTACAACGTAACTGTACAAGACAGAGGAAACTACACGTGCCGTATGATATACACATATATGGGAAAACAATATAATATTTCACGAACCATGAGCCTAGAGGTTAAAGGTGAGTGCATTCAGGTTATTCTCCTCTCTTTTTGTCTCTGCTGTAAATATTTGTATGCAGGCATAGGCTATTTGGCATGTTACTTTTCAGCTCTCTGAAATTAGAGTTGCAAATCTTTAATTTTTTTCCTGAAGCTAAAACTAAAATACAGCAATGCATGTTGCTACCCCTGAGCATTGCTTCTGAGGAAGAATTATCATGGGGAAATGAGAAATGCAGGATTAGGAAGAAGGAAGCAGTGGTTACTGGCGTGGTTTGTTTTTGCTAAAACAAATAATGCACTGTTAATTCTTTATTTTTAAAAAGAAGAATTTTTGCTGAGACCACTGCAGCAAAACTCCTGCTTGTGAACTTACTTTACAAAGTTCACTAGAATCTCAGTTGATGGGAAAGGAGATGTGACAAGCTGTATAAGTTCTGTAAGATTAATAAATCTTCCTCTGTAAAGGACTGGCTTACTGTTGGCACTTGGTTGTGCTTTCCTGCATCTAACAGGATGCAGAGCTGGCTGTCTCACTGTCCCGTACTGTCCTTTATCACCGTGATCATTGCGATTGTGTCTTTGTTGGCAGCATTGCTGACCGGTACCATGATAGCAGTTCTGTCAGAAAAGTTGACTGGAGGTAGAGTGCCCATCTTTCTAGATTAAATGAAAATTCAGACTTTAGATAGGCGATACAAGAACAGTGGGTTGTTAGCAGTGAGTCTGATTACTGTGCAGAATGATACAATTCCAGCCCAGTTTAAGAGTGTGCATGTTTACTCTTTTACTTAAATAGATATTCATCTGATCTAAGAGGTGGACGAGACAATCCCTCTTTCTATTCCTTACCCATCTCTCTGACAAAGGTTTTTTGGTTTTGTTTTCTGGTTTTGTATTATTTTTATATCAACTGCCAGTAAATTTGAGTTGGTTTTTTTTTTAAAAAGTATGTTCATAGAATCACAGAATCATAGAATGGTATGGGTTGGAAAGATCATCTAGTTCCAACCCCCCTGCCATGGGCAGGGACACCTTCTACTAGACCAGGTTGCTCAAAGCCTCATCCAACCTTGAGCACTTCAAGGTACGCTAAAGCCTTCTGATAACTTGGAAGCTAAAATAGAATAATTTGGGTAGAGTACAGCAAATCCCATGAGGTATTTTTCTGTTGGAAATTTGAAACTGGTAGTAAGTATGACGCTACAATAGTACCAAACAATAAAACAAAACCATTGTAAAACTGTCAGTTGAAGTAAATTGTGGAACTCTTCTTGCCTGAAGATTTTGTTTTTCTTTTTCTGTTAGAAAGACCACTGCAGATAAGACCAGAGTTTATTTATCCGAAGAACAATACAATTGAAGTAGAACTGGGTAAGTAGTGACTGTTTAAGAAGTCATTAACATTCATTAAAACAAATAAGCTCCTAGTCTTTCTGAAATAACATGTTAACAGTTCCACTGACTTCAGCAAGACTAAGAGATAGGTGCACAGATTGAGGATACGTGGAAGACAGATGGTAGAACAAGATTCCCACAGGTAATTTGCTGGGGGAATAACTTTGTGCCTAAGATTGGAGTCTCTTGACCAGCAGTATTGGGTGGGATGCATTTATTTATTATTGCACTCTATCTTTTGTACCACTTCTCAGTGTCTGTGTTGTGACATATTCTCAGTTATCTGTGGAAATGTGGTTACATCTATGTAACATGTTAGGATAGTTCAGTTAAGTAATTTTTTTTTCTCCTCCGGTATGTTTCCTGTCTCCCTTCCTTGTCCACAACCTGGATTTTGTTCCTCTTTCTAGGGTATTAAAAAGTTTCAGATACTGATCTTTTGTGAAACAGTGAGCTACTAGTTGATGGATATCCCAGGTATTGTTTATCTTAGAATCTCTTATTTAAGAAATTTCTGGATATACTGAATAACTTCTTCCCAGTGAGGACAGCCAGGCAGTGCAGCAGGCTGCCTAGAGAGGTTGTGCAGTCTCTTCCATGGGATGTTTTGGAACCTGACTGGATAAAGCTCTGAGCAGCCTGGTCTGACCTCGGAGGTGGCCCTGCTTTGAGCAGGAAATTGAACTAGAGACCTCCCAAAGTCCTTTCCAACCTCAATTATTCTGTGATTCTGTGGGCCAAGTATATGGTATGCAAATCTGGTCCTAAGCAAAACTATACATGTTTAGATTGTGCCATATATTGGGGAATGATCTATTAGAGAGCAGTGAAGGGGAAAGGGATCTGGGAGTCCTGGTGGACAGCAGGATGACCATGAGCCAGCACTGTGCCCTTGTGGCCAGGAAGGCCAATGGCATCCTGGGGTGCATTAGAAGGGGTGTGGTTAGTAGGTCAAGAGAGGTTCTCTGTTCTCCTCCCCCTCTACTCTGCCCTGGTGAGGCTGCATCTGGAATATTGTGTCCAGTTCTGGGCCCCACAGTTCAAGAAGGACAGGGAACTGCTTGAGAGAGCCCAGTGCAGAGCCACCAAGATGATTAAGGGAGTGGAGCGTCTCCCTGATGAGGAAAGGCTGAGGGAGCTGGGTCTCTTTAGCTTGGAGAAGAGGAGACTGAGGGGTAACCTCATTAATGTTTATAAATATGTAAAGGGTGAGTGTCACAAGGATGGAGCTAGACTCTTCTTGGTGACAACCAACGATAGGACAAGAGGCAATGGGTGCAAGCAGGAAGTTCTGCTTAAACTTGAAAAGAAACTTCTTTGCTGTGAGGGTGACAGAGCACTGGAACAGGCTGCCCAGGGAGGTTGTGGAGTCTCCTTCTCCTCTGGATGCCTTCCTGTGTGATCTCATCTAGGTGTTCCTGCTCGGGCAGGGGGATTGGACTGGATGATCTTTTGAGGTCCCTTCCAATCTCTAACATTCTGTGATATATCAGACAGAGCTGTGTTCTACTAAAGTAGTCCAGAAGAATGAGTTTTGGAGCTACTTGAACTATAATTATTTTGTCTTGTTTTGCACCAAGAACTGTTTCAAACATAACATTTGATTAAAAAGGACGTTAATGGATTTTGGAGAAGCATGATTGACTGTTTACTAGAATTTCCTAGTGTAGGATCTAAGCTGTCTTTTAATCTTTTGAGGAAGGATCGTTACCAATTAGGTCATTAGAGAAGCCCCGAGGGAAGGTTGCACTGGGGCTGTGGCACCGTACGGGAGGTGAGGCCTCAGCATTGTGTATTATTCTTACCTGTGTCACACTGATTGGAGTCCTGCAGAACATGGTTACTTTTGCTGCTGCTTTTTTTGACGTTGACCTTGTAAATACTGTGCATATCAGGTGTTCTTTTCTCATGTTGAGGCTTCATGCTGCTTTTCACATTATGTGAAACACTTTGGCCCAAATTCTAACTTTGAGTTTATGGTATTAAACTAAAGAGTGAAGGGCACTGAAATACTGGTGAGTTTTGTGGTTTTCTTTGTTTGGTTTTTGTTTTGTTGTTGTTGTTGCAGTTGTCTTGGGGTTTTTTTGGCTGTTTTCTTTTGGTTTTGACCACAACAGCTTGTGAAAGACACCTCCCTCTGAAGTTGCCAGCTTCTGGTGAAGGTTGGTAGATTTTGACCAGAATAATGAATGAGCTTTAATAGAAATTATGTTCCTCCAAAGTCCAGAAGGCTTTGTTTTAAACAGTGGGAATATTCAGGATGTAATACAAACAGTATTATTTTATAGACTTACTGTCCTGCAGTCTTCAGATGGTTATTTAATTCTGCTGGAAATATTCAGAAATTGCTCATCGGCTTCTTTGGCTTCATTACAATTACATGCCTGAAAAACTTTGTGCTAACTAATAAATTTGTTCACCAAGTCTTACATTGGAATAGGGAGACTTGTCACTTGTCACAATCATTTTTTACCTCACACAACCGTAATCTTTGTGTGAAAACTTTCCTTTTTTTTTTTTTTTTTTTTTTTTGGAATTGTAACTGTGAAAGAAATGAAGTAATAGAATACTAGAAACAACTTCCCTTACTGCATCTCCCACCCATTGAAATGTCATGTAAATCTTGACCCTAGTTCTGACTGGTAACTAGCTGTAACTTCCCATTTAATTCAGAAGAATTCTTACATCTACTCAGAAGGAATCTGCTTTGCATAGGCCCTTAAAAGGCTCTTTAATTTACTGAAGACATCCTTTAGGATTTTCTTAATCCTTGACAGTACTTGCTGAGAAAATGGAGAATAGAGCAGTTAGTCCAGGGGCTGCCTGTGGCTCTCAGCCTATACTAAGATGTGTTATAGGACAACTTGTTTAGACTCCTTATTTTAGAATAGCATTTGGTCCATATTTTTTATGGCTTGGACTCTGCATTAACTAAAAGTTGCTGATGTATTATTGGATGCATTAAACCAGCGAAGATGAACAAACCTGGATTGCCTTACAGGCGTTAGGAAAGCAGTCACATGTGAGACTAAAAGGAGACACAGAGCCTCTGCCCACAGAGCGGGTTTATTGTGGCTACTGAAAACTACAAATGATTCCCTTTTACAGGGGGACCCTTTAAAGGAAGTTGGTAAAGTTTTTTGATTTTATTTTTTCTTTTAAAAAAGGCTCTGTCATTCAAAAGTAATATTCTCTGTCCAGTACCTTTAATAGGATGCTGTGGGTTGGGAGGGGGGAGTATTCTATTAAATGCCTGCTGTGGGGTAGAACCTGGAAACACCTGCATGAACCTGGCAATACCTGTATGCTTTTTGAATGAGAAATGGCAGAAAAAGGTTGTATAGACACTTAACAGTACATTAATGAATGTATGGCAGTGGAGGCCATGGAACACTTTAGGGGTTTTCTTCCTTTTGAAGAGCTCTGCAATGCACTAAACCACATCTTTAGAAAAATTTATTATGAGGGAAAAGATTGGGGAGCATTTGTGATTTCTGTGTGAACTCGTGTTCAAGTAACTGCTTTGCGTGTGAGCTGAAGGTTTATTCCATACTTTTGATAGAGACTGTCCCTTGGTGGAAGCATCTAGATCTGATGTGGTTCTAGGAAATGCAACACTGAGATCTTTACATAGGTGAACTGAGAGCACACATTCTCCTATCCAGCACATAACTTCCATGGGTAAAATACAGAAGGACTCCAAGAAAGCTGCCTACCTTCCTTTAAATGGAGTTCTCTGAGGTACATTGGCAATAAATACATTCTGCAACTTGGCTTGCTTTCTTGATACTGAGGCATTCTGTAAGGTCTGGACTCTTGGTGGCAAAGAAGCTGAGTGGCAGGGGAGTTTGCTCTGGGAGCAGACTGTGAGAGTATTCAGAAACCATCCCCAGTGGACAGTGTTGGCTAAAAGGCTCTGATCTGGACAAAAGATATGTGTGGTCACTAAGAATGGGATTCAGCTCCAGGGTGTAGTTGTCTGTACATGAGTATCTGCATATGAGCTAGAGTCCTTAATTCATGCTGTTATCAACAGGGGCTGAATTCAGTTGCCTACACATAGATGTCTTGTGCTGTTTTGGGTGGTCTGGCTATTCCAGCCGTGCAGGTTTCTTGAAGATCTGGAATTCTATCTGCCAGCTCCATACAGATGCCTTGGATGGTGGAGAGCATCTCAGATGTCACCATACTGTGTACATGCAACTGATTTGAGCTCTGGAGATCTTTCAGTGGAGTCTGGAGAGCCATTCAATTGATAAGGTCCAGGTGTCTACTTTAATGTGAGTGGACTCCAGCTGAGCTGAACTCTGTTACTAGCTTAGACATCTAGCTAGTAGACATGTACATGTAGGCATGAACATTTAGACACATTTAGGATGGAATTTATATCCAGATCAGAGACACTCAAGTGTGCATGAGTTTTAAGGACTCTTGCTTTTCGTAAGGTATGTGCGTTTTCTGATATCCCTCCTTTTCCCAGCTGTTCCCCAATCACTTGATCCTGCTTCTGTTACAAGACCTTCACTGCCATATTTAAGTGTTTTTTTGTTTTTTTTGTAGGCTCTCATGTAGTTATGGAATGTAATATATCGAGTGGCATAAATGGCTTGATTCCATTCTGGCAAGTTAATGATGAGGATGTTGATAGCTTTGATATCACCTACAGGGAGCAATTTTATGAGTAAGTATCCTTATACATTGAATTGCAAATGCATTTCTAAGTGAAGTGATCTGCAGTAATTTGCAGTGAATTCACCATGAAGTTGAGTACTAGTCAAATGTCAGTAGTCATTGAAAGATTGATTAAAAGTCTGCATCAAGTACATCATATTCTTATTGCTTGATTTAAAAAAACCCATTATAAATACTGATATATCTGATACAAATGCAATGAAGCAATCATATGTAGGTTTTTCTAATGCTGTTGTGAAACATTTAATTTTGTAAGGCTTATTCATGGATTTGTTCTTATGCAATCCTTTTTGCTAATAGATTAAGGCCTGCCCTGTATCATTAATATGGGAAGGATAGATTGTTCCAAGGAAAAAAATCACTTCATTTATTTTTATTTGTGAAGTTGGTCCTTTTCTAAGTACAGACACAGCTGCTAATGCTCAAGAAAAAAGCAGAAGCTCTTGTTGCAGGACATTTACAAAGTTTTTTTTATATTCAGAAAAATTAAACACAGATTAGGCTGATAAAACCAGCAATTTGTTTCAAGAGAATAGGGCCTTTGTTACTCAGTGACTGGTCTGTGCTGTCGCAGAGTGTGGATGTGCTGTTGGCTTTCTCATTGTATCAAGCACTGCTGTTAAATATAACCCTTAAAGTGTAGTGCAAAGAAGAAAGAAAAAAAAAAAAATCTTAGCTGATCAGTTCACGCTCATGCAGAAGCATTGCCGTCTCCACAAAGTACCATCATCAGTGCAAAATACAGCTAGAGAGTTAGGCTGCAGGCTGCTTTTAAAATTATAGTTTTCATTCACCTGTGTCAGACCTCCAGAAGGAATCTTATTTCTACTTTGTCCCCAGGTTCCTTTAGGAGGAATTATTACTTTCATTATTGATCTGTATACCTTGTTGTTTGCCTGTGTTAGGGCCCCAGCTTAGGGTCTGTAAGGCACAAGTAAGTCCATTATTCAGGCGTGAAGTTTCTCAGCTTTACCAGTTAAGACACATGTGCAGCTCTGTGTAGCTGTGCTTAAAGTTACTATAACTGCAGCTTCTTCTGAAACCAACTCCGTGCTGCATCTTCCTGAAAAGCATTTAATATATTTAACTTAAAGCAATTCTCTATTAAGATTATTGGCTTGCTTGGGAAGTGATCTCCACTTCTAATCACTACCCTGTCTGATAATTTTCCCGTGCCAGAGATGGAGATGTGCAAAATACATCCTGTGCAAGTTCTAATGAGGATTAATAGTTCAAAGTAAGTTATCCATTATCGGAGAAATTAATCTAATTGCAATAATAATGTTTTATTTCAAAAAAATAGTAGTAATTTCTCAACAATTAAATTTGTGGAGCATTTGCTAGTAGCAAAGCACACTGTAGGCCAACATAATGGACTTTAGGACTTCAGTTTAGGAGGAAGTTCTTTCCTCTGCTGGGAGGAAAGTTAAAACTGACTTGAACAAATCTGAACATGTTGCAAAGTGATGAGGTTTGTATTGGCATCTCATGACAGAAGTTGCTGGTAATTATATGTGTAATAGAAACTGGTTCTTCAGGATATTCTGCAAAAAGAGTTTTCCTCCTTGAGTACATAAGGTCACATCACTTTAGTACATAGTGTAGGATGCAGGATAGCATGTTATATCTTCGAGCCTCTTGTGGCAATAGGTATCAGACATAAAGGGAGTATCACTGTGTGTGTTGTCATTTGACACCAGAGCCACACAGCTTTTGTGAAGTTTGTTCATCACCATTGATCGTGGACACTGTGGGCTCAGGGAGTCTGTTAGTGTGCTTAGAAAGGTTTCTGTTGCATCATCAATATAAAGAATCCTGGAAGGTTATTTTTCTCTTGACACTTTTATTACTAGTTATTACTGGTTTGAATGATCTTTCAGTCACAGAATCATTTAGGTTGGAAGGGACTTCCTGAGATTGTCTATTCCAACCCCCCTGTTCAAGCAGGAGTGAGATAGAGCAGGTTGCTCAGGGCCATGTCCAGTTGGGTTTTGAATACCTCCACAGGTAGAGACTTCACAGCTTCTCTGGGCAGCCTGTTTCAGTGTTTGACCACTGTGACAGTAAGAAAAGTGTTAAGATGGAGTTGCAGGTGGGAAAGTGTTTCAGTTTGTGCTCATTGCCTCTTGTCCTGTCAGTGGGCACTACTGAAAGGAGGCTGTCTCCCTCTTCTCCACTCCCTCCCATCAGGTATTTACACACATTGATCAGATCCACCCCCTGCCCCTGAGCCTTCTCTTCCCCAGGCTAAAGAGTCCCTACATGACAGATGCTTCACTCCCTTAATCATTTTCACGACCCTGCACTGGACTTGCTCCAGTAAATCCATGTCCCTCTCCTCCTGGGGAGCCCAGAACTGGCCACACTACTTCAAGTGTGGCCTCACCAGTACAGAGCAGAGGGGAAAGATCACCTTCCTCAGCCAGCTGGCAACATTTTTCTTAATGCAGTCCAGGATGCCTGGGGACTGGTTATTCCACCTCAGGTGCAGGATTTGCATTTTGTGTTGAACTTCATGAGGTTACTGTGGTCAACCTATTTCTCCAGCCTGACAGGTTTCCTCTGGATTGCAGCGTGACTGGTGTATCAGCCATCCCTTAGAGTTTTGCATCATCTGCAGAACTGCTAATGGTGCGCTCTGCCCCACTCATCAAAAAAACCCCAGCAACCCAGTGTGTATGGAAAATGCCAGGTCACCTCTGGTCCTGAAACTGTTTGATACAGAGGTGCTATTTACTGTGCTTCACTGGCTTCTTAGGTTTATAGAGGTAAAAAATGAATGTTCTGGTATTTGTGGATAGATGAATTGATCCCATATTAAGCACTGATATTTCAGTTTCTCTACAGATGTTTCCTTTTTACCCTTTTTTAATGACAGAGAGGAGATGCCTCATGGACTTGCTGTATCTGGAACAAAATTTAACATTTCAAAAGTGAAAGTAAAGGATTATGCTCATAAATTTTTCTGTCATTTCATATATGCTTCTCAACAATTTACAGCCTACATCAAATTGGAACGCCCAGGTAAGAGATCTCATCTTGATGAAATGCTGATCAGTGATGCTTACTTCTCAGTTAGCTTGACAACACCCTACTTGATAAAGCTAAAACTGCACGTACCATTGTGCAAAGCGGGCAATGCAGCTCAATATGTTTCTTTGTGAACTTTTTGTCATATCCTTATCAAAATTAAAGAAAGTAGCACTTTTACTTTACTTTGTATTCTCCCATTCAGTGTTTTTGAGAAACAAAGAAAGACTCCAATTTATTTGAAGCAAGTATGAGACCTCAGTGGCATACTGTGCTTTGTTTTACACACTTGTACTTAAAGAAGGATGTGAATCAGAGAAGATCATAAGAACAGTGAAATTGGCAAATTAGCTGAAAGAGTTGGGGGGAAGACATAACTAAGTGTGGAACAGACTGTCAAAAGGACATGAATGTATATGTGGACCTGGTTGTCCTTTTCTTCAGTAAGAAATAATAGGCTCAGATTTCCAGCAGAAAGGAGAAAAAAAAATAATGTAGGAGAAACTCTTTAACAGTGATGATAGTGAAGGGATTGAATAGATTGCTTGGAAAGGTTATGGACTTTCCATAACTGATGTATGTGCTGTGTCTTCACCTTCTAGATAGGCTCATGCATGTTGATTGGGAACATCCTGCCACTTGTTGCAGACCCCAGTCTTGCGCTCAGAAACAAGGATAAGTTCGACCTGTTGCTGGCTAGCATTAAATTTTCTTTTTAGTAGATTAACTTAAGGGTAAAATAAGCTTTAAAAACTCAAATGCAAGGCTGAAGAAATTAATTATTTTTATTTAAAAACAGATACACATAAAAGCAAATCACCAGATACTATAAGTGCCCACTTCTTAAATTTTAAGTGCCCAAGCTGCAGAAGAACCTCTGGTCTGTTGAGCTTGTATTGAGTTGGCTTTGTCAAGTGTTATTCTCAAACTTACCTTTATGGCCACAGTAGCCACGTTGTAAACAAATAATTGACTAAAAGTGGATCTGAGCTCTAGTTTGTTACATAACTCTTAAGTTCTTCATAAAGATTGTCAGGGTAGGATTCAACATCAGGAATCCTATAACTAATCATGAACTAAAAAATGCAGTTTGAGGGTGTTTGTTTTAAGGACAACAAATCTGTTAAAGGACAACAAATTAGTAGGTTCAATGACAGATCTTCGAAGAAGCTAGGGATGATGGAAAGCTGGTTGATCTGAGGAGAATAGCATGGTCAGGAAATTGCCTCCCCACCTCTGATTTTCCCGCTTTCTGACTGATAAAATTTTGTACAAGAATTCTCACTCTACTGCTGCACTGGGATATACGTCAATCTTTTGCTGTTTCAGGTGAAGAGTTACCTTTGTTTGTCACATTGCTGAGGTATCTCTTCTCTGGAAGATAAAAGTAGGCTTGTCAAACAACAGTATTTGCAGAAAGCATACATGAAAATCTTTTGGTCCTAGTAATTAATTCCTTTTTTTAATATTTTAATAACTAAACAATTTTGAACGTCTCTTTTGTCTTTCTCTGCTTCTAGTGTGTAACTGTGTTTTGTTTATTTTCTTTCTTCTTATTCCGCTCTACTGCAGCTCAGAACATTCAGGGTTACCTAATTGGAGGAGGAATTTCTTTGGTATTTTTAGTATTTTTTACTGTCATTATCTACAAGATCTTCAAAATTGATATTGTGCTTTGGTATCGGGACTCCTGCCGTCCTTTCCTGGGTAAAAAAGGTACCTTTGTGTAACAGTGCTGTGTGTTGTAATGTGCCTTCAGTTTCCCTTGCAAAGCAGTGAGTTAACCTTGTGGAGTGTGATTGGTCTTCCTTGGGATTTTTGCAAGGATAGCATGTTTTTAGGATGTTTAGGATTAGTTCAGATAACAAAAGCATCTACAGGGGAAAAATCTGCAACTTTCCAGGAAGCCAGTTCAATCATGCTATACCCTGAAGACCCACTTCAGTGGTTTGAATGCTGTGCTGACAGCAGTTGTTCAGATTTCTGTTAATTCGTGTTCTTACAGAAAGCAGTAATACAGTAGAATTGTTGGGTGGTTTTTATTTTCCATAGATGAACCAGGACAAATTTCACTTTCTTCTCTTTTCTATTTGAAGGCACTTCTGATTATTTTACTTTCTGTAAATTCCTGGCATTCAGAAAAGTGTTGATAGGGGTGCTGTATGAGAGTATACTGAAGTATAGATCATTTTCAAACATCTGAGAGGAGGTACATGGATAGAGAAATAGAAGATACCTTCTAGAGGTATTGAGGTCCTGTTAGATCTCTTTGAAATCTTTTAAATTGGGTCTTTCTGAAAATTTTGTTCCAAAATATCTAACACCATTCTCAGAATCACAGAATGGTAGGGGTTGGAAGGCACCTCTGGAGATCACCGTGTCCAACCCCCCTGCCAAAGCAGGCTCACATAGAGCAAGCTGCACAGGACTGCATTTTTAAATATCTCCAGAGAAGGAGACCCCACAGCCTCTCTGGGCAGCCTGTCCCAGTGCTCTGTTACCCTCACAGTAAAGAAGTTTTTCCTCATGTTTAAGCGAAACCTCCCGTGTTCCAGCTTTTGCCTGTTGCCCCTTGTCCTGTCAGTGGCCACCACTGAAAAGAGTCTGGCCCCATCCTCTTGACACCTGCCCTTTAGATATTTGTAAACATCGATAAGGTCCCCCCTCAGTCTTTTCTCCAGGCTAAACAGACCCAACTCTCTCAGTCTGTCCTCATAAGGCAGATGTTCCAGCTCCTTAATCATCTCTGCAGCCCTCCACTGGACTCTCTCTAGAAGTTCCCTGTCTGTCTTGAACTGGAGGGTCCAGAACTGGACACAGTACTCCAGATGTGGCCTCACCAGGGCAGAGTAGAGGGGAAGGAGAACCTCCCTCGACCTGCTGGTCACATTCTTCTTAATGCACCCCAGGATGCTATTGGCTTCCTGGCCACAAGGGCACATTGTTGGCTCATGGTCAACTGGTCATCTACCAGTACTCCCAGGTCATTCACTGCAGGGCTGCTTTCCAGCAGATCAACTTCCAACCCGTACTGGTGCCGGGGGTTATTCCTCCCCAGGTGCAGGACCCTACACTTGCCCTCACTGAACGTCATCAGGTTCCTCTGTGCCCAACTCTCCAGCCTGTCCAGATCTCGCTGAGTGGCAGCACAGCCTTCTGGGGTATCAGCCATTCCTCCCC